AAACTGATAGCTGTATGCGCAGAAGTCATGGCAGTCACGGCATGAGGTTTGAACTTGCTCCTGAGAAACCCACTCATCACTTTCCCAGTTGTATTGAAAAACCGTCTGCCTCTGGGATGCTACCACCCTATTCAGCATGAAGTATGCATATGACCCAAGCAGGATGACATTCTCAGCGTCCCTAGCGCCACTTTCATCAGCTGGAGGCCATGGTAGGCTCCGCTCATTAAAGAAAGTCTCCACCGGTGTCAATGTAGCAATGCCCCTGCGAGAATTTCCAACTTGCCACTGTGGACGAGTTGAATTATTGAAGCTAACCACTGCAGGAGCTACCTCCTTTAACTCAGTGAAGAAAATGACCAGCAGCTTTTCTTGACTTATGCATGCAACCCTGAGGATACGTCCCATTTCCGGACTCGGAGCCATTACTCGTTTTGTCGAGAAGATTTTCTTGAGAACGTTGGTAACATACAAGGTGCTCCCCTCCCACGAGATTAAGAGGGGACCGTGTGTGATTAAGGGAGCACGGTGGGCAAAGTTCTTGTCTCTGATCATCCTTGACCAGCCTTTATCGGACCTAAAGAAGCATAACTCGCTGTGTTTCTTGTTCCAGAAGACAAGGGCGGGCTCTTGATATCGCTTGTGGCCTGTCCTGCGCCAGTTGTGGCATACCATGCTCAGTGATCTAATATCCCTGACAGTGCACAAGAGTTGCGCGACTTGCTGCAGAAGGTCAGTAGGCAGATTGGACCACTTCTGGCCATCAACATTCTCTCCATGATTATAATCAAGTGACTTGACTGGCTTCAGTTTAAGCAAGTCCCTCAACCTTCGATAGCGATGAGCATACCAAATTCCAGCCTCAAAATCATGGATGTAAACAATCTTCACGCATCCCTGGCAAGTAAAGAAGGCATAAAGAAAGACGCCATCCGAGCGCCGTGTAATGTTAGCCACACCCGCTTCCAGTGGCGGCTGAATATTAACCAAGTCTTGAGGTAGGCCATCAGCGTTAATCCGCCATGTCTCTTCCGAGGAATGCACTCTCATGTTCTTGACCTGGCCTTGACTCCATTTGACCGTCCACACTGGTTCCCTGCACCACTCATCCCTTTCCAAATCATATCTCACGCACGGTGTGTTCCACCAGGAAGAGGGCTCACAAAACATGACATGAAGAAAGCCACCCGCCAGTGCACTGTATCCAGGCCACCGAGAGTCACCATACACGGTGGTCTCGCGACCAGTGAATCCAGGAGAATAACGAGACTTAACTCTCCACATCCCAGTTGTTGAATCGAAGATAGCAGAAGTGATGAGAAAGCTGTGCTGGGGGGCCAAAGGTGAATCGCTATAGACAACCAGGAGCTGGAACTTGTCAAGGCTGGATCCAAGTGCAGATGTGCTCAAGACCAAGGACGAGGAGGAGCTGGTCACAAGCTCTGGTGGAGATGGACAGATGCAAGCCATGCCAGTCGAGACATCCAAGACGATGAGCTGCCGGCGCATGCTCCACAGTGCCACGAGTGGTCCACCGTCACTGGCTCTGGTCTTCCAGTGGCAAGCGATGAGGATGCGGATGATCCTGCAGCTGTTCTTGTTCTTGTTCCATACCAGGAGCTGACCCTTTTGCTGCACCAGAAAAGCACGTTGACGAGGGGTATATACCGCATGACATTCGCGAGCCGTGCCTAGAATAATTTTGGAATATTGTGATTAGCTTTTCTTGCTTAAGCTATTAAGTAGCTTGCTCATTTTCCTCCTCCACCTCCTTTTCCGTCCTTTCATATTCGTTCCTCACCCTCTCGAGGTAACTGAAGCCCTGTTTCCTGCGACCGTTGCTCTCCTGTCCTCCACCACTCTGGCTATGGCTGCCACTGGAACCATCCTCGTTCTCTACCTTCTGCTCTTCAGGTTTCTGAAAGAAACTCTGTTTTCTAAAAGAAAGGTAGCTATGAAACTTACTTGAGGATCGAGCTCCTTCTTCAGCTTTTTGTGCTTTTGCACCTTCTTGGCGTTCTGATTCTCTGCGCGCTTGGAAACATACTCAGCCTCGGATCGTGTGCACCCTGCATCAACGAAGGAACGTCATTTCGTTGCAAGTGTTTCTCGGGGTACGAAGGAAATGGTATCTTGACTGGTGGCTGCGCGATAAAGCGATACGTTATTCTCCTTCCCGGTAAGCTCGTGACTCAGAGAAGAGAGCTTGCTCTTTAAACGTGTCTTCCACGTTGATCATCAGCACCAGCTCTTCTCATTGTTGGATTTTTTTCTCTGGAAGTTCCGGCCGAAATTGTCCGCACTGCCAGGCACTAGAAACTTGAGACACCTTCAAGCCATTTTCAAAGAAAACTCAAGAATCTTTACCTGGGCAGAAGAGATGGGGAGAGCAACCAAGTGCTTCAGAAGCGATCTCAAGCTAGGCACTGGCAGCTTTGGCACAGTCTACAAGGGTAAACTGGACGACAGCACCACGGTGGAGCCAACAACGGCGATGCCCCTCGCATTCAACAGTTTCTGAACGAGGTTTCGCATTCCACAGAGATCTTGTCGAGATGCTGGGATGTTGCATAGAAAGAGAAGTACTCTGGGCACGAACTCGTAGACCACGAGAGGTGAGCATCTGCACAGACGAGGAGATACATTATCGTGGAAAAACCGTTTAAGAGATTGCAACGGAGACAGTAGTGGCTCTTACGTACCTTCATCTTTGCAGCTTCTCCACCGATATATCACCGGGACATGAAATCCTCGAACATCTTGTTGGACGAAAAGCTCACGGCCAACGTAGCGGACTTTGGGATTTCCAAGCTGGTACCCATAGATTCCACTCGCATTTCTACAACTCTGCGGAAATCGCGCTCCATCAGCTACGTCGAATACACCAGAAATACCTGCTAACGTAGTTCTGCGTGATGGCGATCGGGTCTTCCAGATGTATAACAATGTGCCACCAGCCGTTTGGTATGGAAACGACTTCGCCTGCTTTGCAAACGCACTCCACCGGTTTATGCTTGCCCCGCTTTGTCTCGTGATAGAAGTTCACAAACCATTCAGTGATGGACACTGGAGTTGCTACGTCCACTCCATCCGGGCTGGGATGAACACCAGGAGGAACACCACCCGGAGGATACAGGATCCACTTCTTGGAACCTTTCTGCGTTCCAAGCCGAAGTGCTGTTAGGATCAATATGAAACGAGGAGCTAGACCTTGCAGGCCCGAGTATAAGCCACCGATAGTCGGGCCTCTCCTTCCCCAGTATCGAGAAAAGGTCCTCCCTGAAGTAGACAGGAACTTCATAGTCGGCAGCCAGTTGCTGAACTTTCTCCCAGAACTTTGGATCAAACAGGTAGAGAGGCCGCTCTTCTTTCACGGACTTCGCATAGACGAAATAGTTGCTAAGCGTCATGTCAACTGGACCAGCAGCAAAGTCTACGTCCCCACACAGCTCGAGTAAATAGTCCTGGTTCCAGCGTTCCAGTGCAGGCCTGTCGTTGATAGCATGGGTGATAAGAACTGGTTTGTTCGGCCTCTCGAAATCGCGTACAAAGTGGAAGGTGGCTTCTGCGCTCGATGTTGTCCCTGGAAATCCACTCGTCTTTGATCTCCACACTGGCACAGAGCCAGCTCTGGAACAAGTAGTCCGAATAGAAGTCTTCCACCTAGAAGAACATTACGAGAACCTTAGAACGATGTCAGAAAAGCAGTCATTTAAAGTAGTAGTACCTGACAGGGAGAGAAATCCTCTTTCTGGCAAAGAAAAGAAACACAAACTATTAAAACTTTCTTCCAAGAACAAAGTCTCAAAGAGCACGTTACCTTTGTACAAGCCCATCGAGAAGAGAAATCCTCTTTCTGAATGGAAAGAAGCAAAAACTATCAAAACCTTCTTCCAAGAACAAAGTTTTTAAAGAACACCTTACCTTTGTCCAAGCTGATCTAGCTGAGATGTAAGTCTTTCTTCAACTTCCTTGCAACAAAAATCCTCCTTTCAGCTCCGCGAGGAGGTGGCTGAAAACATTGAATGCCTTGCTCGAGATGCCCATATCCTTGGCATCCAGCAACGCCAGAATATCACTGACGATCTCATCGCTAAGAGAGACTCCCAAGCCCTGGATTGCAGATATTTTGCTTGCCTGTGAAGAGGAGATTCCCCAACAGCTGGACGGCGAAGTGCCTGGATGCGAATGCAAGCCATGCCAGGAGTTTCCTCCGATTCATCGGTAGCGCTATTGCTACATGAATATGCGATAAAGAATAGAACACAAGTGGAAGAGAATGGTTCATAGTCTTGGTTTTGGTGGGATTGCGACTCTATTGGCCATCTCAAACCCATTTTGACCGGCGTAATCTTTCTTGTTTCTTTAGTATTTGTTCTAAAGATGTAAGGAGTTACGAAAAGGAAGAGGAACAAAGTGTTGAATGTTATAATTGTGTGTTATGCAATCTTTAGCACCCTTTTCTGTGCATTTACAAACCACTCATTTGTTGTATTTACGGTGTGGGTGTGCACTGGAATAGTTTTCTTCATTATTACTGGAGCTTTTTTCTTGTTTTGGGTGCTCACAGATCCATTTTTTGGGTTTATCGAGGAACCAGCTTTGCTAATATTCATTAGGTTTAATGCTATGCTTAAAGGAATAGTGGCAATATCTGAAATTTTTAAATCAAAGGTGAGTTGTTTTGTTTTTCTTGCCACTATTATGCCCCGCGGCAAGAAAAACAAAACAACTCACCTCTTATTTAAAAATTTCAAATATTGCCACTATTTTTCTAAACATAGCACCAAAACTAATGAACATTAACAAAGCTAGCACTTCGATAAATCTGAAAAATGGGTCCGTAAGTACCCAAAACAAGAAGAAAGCTTTAACAATGATGAAAAAAATTATTCTAGTGCACACTCACACCGTAAACACAGCAAAGGAGTGGACTGTAAATGCACAGAAAAAGGTGCTAAAAATTGCATAGCACACAATCATAACACTCAACACTTTGTTTCTATTCCCTCTTATAACTCCCCAAATCGTTAGAGCAAATACCATAGAAACAAAAGAGATTGCGCCGGTCAAGATGGGCTTGAGATGGCCAATAGAGTTGCGATCCCGCCAAGAACCAAGACTGTGAACCATTCTCGCCGTTGCATTCTCGCCGCTTCAACTTGCATAGCAAATAGCACACATAAACCCTAAACCTTGTTCTATTCTCTATCGCATATTCGTGTAGCAGCAGTGCTAGCAATGAATCGAGGAGAGTCCTGGCGTGGATCGCATTCGCATCCAGGCACTCCGCCGTCCAGCCACTGGGGAATCTCCTCTTCACGGGCAAGCAAAATATCTGCAATCCAGGGCTTGGGAGTCTCTCTCAGCGATGGCGCTGCTGGATGCCAAGGATCTGGGCGTCTCGAGCAAGGCATTCAATGTTTTCAGCCACCTCCTCGCAGAGCTGAAAGGAGGATTTTTGTTGCAAGGAAGCTGGAGAAAGACTTACGTCTGGACAAAGGTAAGGTGTTCTTTAAAAACTTTGTTCTTGGAAGAAGGTTTTGATAGTTTAGGATTTCTCTTCTCGATCGGCTTGTACAAAGGTAACGTGCTCTTTGAGACTTTGTTCTTGGAAGAAAGTTTTGATAGTTTGTGTTTCTTTTCTTTGCCAGAAAGAGGATTTCTCTCCTGTCAAGGTACTACTACGTTAAATGACTGCTTTTCTGACATCGTTCTAAGGTTCTCGTAATGTTCTTCTAGGTGGAAGACTTCTATTCGGACTACTTGTTCCAGAGCTGGCTCTGTGCCAGTGTGGAGATCAAAGACGAGTGGATTTTCAGGGACAACATCGAGCGTAGAAGTCACCTTTCAGTCGATGACTTTGTACGCGATTTCGAGAGGCCGAACAAACCAGTTCTTATCACCCATGCTATCAACGACAGGCCTGCGCTGGAACGCTGGAACCAGGAGTATTTACTCGAGCTGTGTGGGGACGAGCTCACATCCAAGGTCATAATGTGCTCGTACTGCATTTTTCTTTTACTTTTTTAAAGTTTCGGTCTGCATTTTCTCCACACTTGTAGAGCTCCTGACTCTCTTTATTCACAGGTTGTGCCGACTATTGTAAAACTTTTTGCGTCGACCGACCGTGCTATTCGAGCAAGTTTATTGCAAAACATTGATCAGTATGGAAATGCTAACTCTTGGATGAGCTCTGCACTCGCTCGAATCTAAAAACTAAAAATGCCTGCGCAGGTTTTTCCGCATTTGGCGACTGGTTTTTCGGACACTTGTGCCCTGCTACGAGAACTAACGTTGAAGTCAATGCTCATTCTTGCACCAAAGGTACTGTTTTTTTGTTTTCCTTTTTCCATGTTAAAGACCATTGTAACCTTCATTCTGAAAGCAGTTGTCTCAAAGAGGATCTCTTATCGAAATTGCAGGTTTCTTTTTCTCTTCTTTTTTCCTTATAGTCTGACGCATTTCAAGTTGACGAAGAACCTGCGATACGAACGAACACTACAATTTTACTGGGAAACATTGCCGGCCTTCTTAACGACTCTGTAAGTTCTTTCTTTTGTTTCTTCCAATCAAGTTAGATTTTTCGTGCAGACAAGAAAAAGAGTCTTGATCAACGCGTTCACGGTGAGGGCTCCAAGGGATGGATTTGCTCCTGCCAAGGGGTGCTGGTATGCGTCCTTCTTTAATCAATGTGTTACTGATGTGTTCATTTGATAAGTTATTATGGCCCTCACAGCCACAAGCCAATACTACGATGTGGTAGAGATTGCTACTCCAGCCTTGTTGCTTTGACAATCGATGCTGACAGGTTTCAAAAAGTTTTCATCTTCTATTCTAGTTGCCTCACTATTTGTCAATAATGTCCAGTGACGTGAGAACTAAAGCCTTTGAAGCTACTGAAACATTCTTGCAGCTTGTCCGCATTGTGCACATTGAAAACTGATAAAAGAAAAAATCATCACTTACCAGCAGCTCGAGGACGGAGAGATAACGTTTTCTCCCTGTCGCAACATAGGGCTTCTCGGGTACGTCCTTGTAATGCTTATGACGTTTGAAAGCTGACTATCTCTTGTCGTCTATAGCTGGGCTGTGAGCTCTCTCAAGACCAAGTTCCCGACCTACCGAGCCAAACATCAGGCACTCTTTCAATCGTGTCCTCGGAACCTATCGCCGCCACTGCTGCCGCTGCTCCATCCGTGGAGCATCACCACGCCCCTTGAGCGAAGATTTCTTCGACAGCGTACGAGATGGATGGGACGACATGGAAGACTCGGCAGCTGCCACAGCAACTCCATCACTGTCGAGAATACAAGCCGCGCAACAGCGTCCCATTGCATCGGCACCTCGTCCGTCCCATACGAATACAAACGGCCCCGAGCAAACAACCACTGGTAAGAGAGTCTCCAACTCTTTCCTCCGCTGCGTTTCTCATTTCTCCTCTTTGCTTCGCAGGAGCAACGGTTTCTAGACAAGCAAGCAAGACGCAAGTGAGCGATGATGAGGATCCGTGGGCCGAGATCGCTGCGCCACCTCCATCGACGAAACCACGGCCAGTTGTTTCAACTCAGTCGAGAGTAAGGCAGGGACAGCACGTATCTTTGGGGGCCATGGGCTTGGGCGGTGCTGGACGAGGCAGCAGCGCCCATGAAGCTTGGTGCTCAACGCGTGGCCGCTGCCAGGCGGGCCTTTGACGCCATGCTGGAGCGTGACGTGGTGGCATGGTGGTGGCGGCATATTCGCACACTGGAGATGAGAGCACATTTGTCTCGGCCGTCGATGCGTGTACGGCAGTCTTGGATCGGGCGGTGGGCTCTTATAGCGCACTGGTGACTATGTACGGCAAGGGTGGAGATCTCGTATGGCGAGGGTGATGTTTGATGGCTTGCGCGACACAAGAGATCAACCATGCAATGGAAATGCTCGCCATTGGGATCCAATCCACAGTCTTGCATTGCGAGAAACAATTCCCTCGACTCCTCGAAGAACCCACTCCGGTTACAACCCACCAGAGAGCTCGTTGGTCGGAGAAGCTCCACACTGGAGCATTTCTCTCAAGAGCTCCAAAGCATCGGGCATATGCAAACTGGGCATATGCTCCGATCCACAGGATAGGATCTACCATGGACCGGGAAGCTCCGGGAGGCTCGGGATTTGATAGTTAGCATGCCATTCGAGCCGGATTTCCCTGCGTGGTCGGCTCTTGTAGGAAAACACCTCGGAACCAAAGAGATCACTTCATTCGCCACCTCTCTGCCAAGACATGGACGCTACAAGCACTGCTCCGCAGGGATGCAAGATGAGGTAGCGAGACTAGAGCAAAAGAGAATAGATCTTTTGCTCAAATCAAAGTAAGGCTTTAGTAGTGATTTAGAATCCTGTTCTAAAGAGTGCTCCAGAGAGAGCATTCATTTAGACTTCGCAACTGTGAGTCGCCACTTGGCAAAGGGTCGCTTGATACACAACCAGATCCTTTCAGATCGAAAGGAATGCAGAGAGAACGTTGTTCTGGCAAATCTGGTGCAAGTGATGCCAAGCGAGCGTTCGACACCATCGACGCCAAGAACGTTTTCTCGTGGTCTACAATGGTGATGCATATGCCCAAAACGGGCATCTGGAAGGTGCCAAACTTATCTTTGATAAGATACTGGATCGAGCTAACTGTTGCATGCAATACAATGCTTGGTTATTATGCACAACACGCCACAAATATGCTAACCCGCTTCTTGTCGTAATTACGGCATATGCCGGAACTGGGTATATGTCCAGCGTAAAGCATATATTCGATTCGAAATGCAATCGCATGTATATCAATGCTTGCTGGATATGCAATTCTAGGAGGCATATTCTTCTCTCGAGGAGTTTTCCAAAAGATGCCCCAGCATGACACTATATCAGCGACTGCAATGGTTTCGGCATTTGCCGCGAGGGGCAACCTGGTTTGAGAACATGCCAGAGAGGAATGTCTTCTCGTGGACGGAAGTTCCCTGCGGGAAAACCTTTGCCTCCTTCAAAGACTTGGTATTCCCTATCGCTGTCAACAAGGGATTCCGGCATCTCAGCAAACAAGCCTCCGCTCTCAACGCTCACATTGAGTCGAAGATTCCATCTTGTCAAAGAAGCTTTTCCACTTGTCTAGAAGACCATCTCCCTCGTATCTTGTCCTCTGGCTCCACAGTCTTGCACTGTGCTTGTTTGCATGCTGGTAAGTCCCATGCTCTTGGTCTGCTTCTCTCAATTCTGTTTTATTTTAAT